GTTAAATAATTACTTAACTATAATAAGTATAATAGCTTATATATAGCTTAAGATAATAGTAATCCGGTATAAGAAAATATTAAATATAATTCCGAGAATAATATATAATTTAAAGAAATATAAAAGACTAAGGAAAAGCTTAATTAAGAAAAAGAAATTAAGTAAGTTTTAGAAAATAAAATAAAAGAAAAGGCTAATAATATATAAAAAGCTTTAGCTAAAATATATAATCTTTTTCTGAATTAGTATAAAAATTAGTATAAAACTAATTAAAATAGAAATATAAATATATTAAGTTTATAATATAGTAAGAAACTTAATAAAAGAAAAAGAAATCCTTATTTTATAAGATTAGATTATTATATAATAAGTATAGATTTTATTTATTTTTATATTAATTACTAATTATTATATAATAATTATATTATATTTATTAATCTTACTAAATTCTTTATATTAGGTAAAAAGGCTATTTAGAGAAACTTGGCTAGTTAGATATAAGGAAATAATAAATAGATTAACTTTTCTAGTTCTATTACTTAGTAGCCAGAATTCGAGGCTAAGTTAAATACTATTAGCTTTTACTTTTTTACTAAATCTCAAAAAGGCTATAAAGTAATAATATTACTAGTATATATTAGAAAGAAGCTAAAGAATAACTTATACTAATATATCTTTCTATCTAATTCTAAGTTATAAATTATAGAAAATACTATAGCTATTTAATAATATTTAAGAAATTTCTTTAGTAAAAGTAATAATTAGCTAAGTACTATATTTTTAAAATACTAGTAGTTATAAATTATAAAAATAATAATTATAATTATACTAATTTTAATACTAATCTTATTATTTCTTACTAGTATTAATAAAAATATTTAAAATTCTATTTCTTTTCTAATATTTTAAGTATTTTATTATTTCTAAAGTCTTAGCTATTATTTAGGTTCTATTTTATAATACTATATAGTAAGTATCTAAAAAAATTTGCTTTACTTTAGTATTTATTACTAGAATTAAGAGAATATTAATTACTATAAGTAAGAGCTTTAGCTAGTACTTTCTTTATATATCTTAATATTACTATTAAAATATAAATAAGTCTCTAATATTATATAGCTTCTTCTAATAATAATTCTCATATTTATCTTAATTTACTAGCTATATATATTTCCTTAATATCTAAGTAATTTTATTAAAATCGTCTAGTTCTTTTTTTACTAACTATTTAATCTCTTTAACTAGTACTAAATTATTAGGAATAAATATCTAATCTTAATATTTTTTCTAAAGCTTTTTAATTTTAGTTAAGATAAGCTAAACTTATTTCTTCTTCTAATTAGCCCTAATATACTTTATATAATAATTCGAATAAAGTATAAGAATAGTAATATAAAGAGGCATATTATTAGACTTATAATAATATATATTAAAAACCTTTTACTTTTTCCGGATTTAAATATAAAAGTCTTTATTATTTATATATATTTTTTATTATATTATAATTAGTATTATTAATTCAAGTAATAAAGATTAATATAAAGATTAATATAAAAATTAGTATAAAAATTATTACTTACTAGTAATCTATTAAATACTCGAATTAAAATATCTATTATAAAAAGTATTTAATTAATAATTATAGTATTTTCTTAAGTTTTAAGAATAGTTTTATAAAATGGTTTAAAAAAGATAGAAATTATCCGAAGCCTTTTTTAGTTTTCTAGACTAAGGTAATCTAATTTCAGATTTATAAGATACTTTTTATAATAGATATTAAAATAAGTATTATATATTAGTTATTCTATTATATCTAATTATTAAGAGAAATTATTTTTCTAGTAAGAGCTTTAAATCTAGTAATCTAACTAGAAAAGTAATAAATATATATAATAATATTATAAAACTAGCCTAATAATCCCAAAAGTCGAAATTTTATTTATTTTTCCTTATTATTTAATAGGGCTTTCAAATTTCCTAAATTCTCTTATTTATTAAGTGCCTTTAATTCTCTATTTATAAAAATATTATAAAATAAAAAGGCTTATATAAAAAGGTTAATAATATATCCTAAATAATAAACCTGCTATTATAAAATATTCTATTCTAATTCTTTTTTCCTTAGTAAATAAGCCTAAATAGCTTAATATAATATACTATTTATACTAGTATTATTACTAATAATAGCTTTAAATTATTTAGTAATATTATAGTCTTAAAATACAGGTTATAAAACCGTAAATTAGTTTTCTCCTAAATAATCTAGTATTATATAAAGAGCTAGAAGAGCCTTTATATAATTCTTATCTTATTATTTAATAAAATATATAATAATATCTAAAAGAAGATATTTTTATAGAGAAATCTAGATATTAAGAATAAGATAAATACTTAAAACTATAAACTAGAGTTTTCGTAATATAATATTCTTTAAACTAATCTAGTATTTCCTAAACTTTTTTCTTATATAAAAATAAGTTATAGAAAAAAAGAACTAAGATTCTAAATTAAATATTTAATAAAAAATAAAAAATTCGGACTATTTAATTACTCGAAAAAATAAATTATAAATAATAATTAATAAAATTAAAGCTTTATAAATTACTACCTAATTAAAATATTATTAAAAGATATATATATTAATTTTAATTATTTAGTTAGATAACTTTATTTATAAGTAAAGCTATTATAGCTAGTTAATTACTTTTAATTAAAATAAACTAATTTCCGATTTACTTTTAATAATATTATTATATACTAATTTAAGATAATTATATTAATTAGTAAAGACTAAAATTAAATAAATATTTAGTAGATTTTCCTTTTTATAAGAAAGATAATAGTAGTATTTAAATAGTTCTTTTATATCTAGATACCTAAAATAAGTATAAGCCTAAATAGCTCTTATAAGTTCTTTTTATTTAGAATCAGATTTGGATTAAGTCGAATCTATATTAATAAAGGCTTAATAGATTAATAAAACAAATTCAGAAGCTATATTTAAATAATAGAAGATAAAATATTATTATATATTAAAAAAAGAATAAAAGAAAATATAAAAATTTTAATCTTTTTTAAAAGAAATAATAATATAAATCTTAATATTATATATTAAATACTAGCTAGTTTATATTATATAATAGACTATTAAATAGAAAGTATAATAGTATATTTATAATAGTTTACTTTTATATTAATCTTTATACTAATTAGTTTATAATTAAACTAGAAAGCAAGATATTTATATAATAAAACTCGCTTAATAACTAGCTAGGCCTACTTTTATTAATAATTATCGAGGTAATAGGGCTTGCTTAAAGGCTAGCTAGGCCTACTTTTATTAATAGAATTATTAATAACTGGATTAAATACTAGCTAGTTTATATTATATAATAGACTATTAAATAGAAAGTTAAAAAGTCTAATAGTATAGTAATAATAGTCTATTTTTATACTAATCTTAATACTAATTAGTTTATAATTAAACTAGAAAGCGAGATATTTATATAATAGGGCTTACTAGCTAGCTAGGCCTATTTTTATTAATAGTATTATTAAGGTAATAGGGCTCGCTTAAGGGCTGGCTGGGCCCACTTTTATTAATAATTATTAAGGTAATAGGGCTCGCTTAATGGCTGGCTGGGCTCACTTTTATTAATGAAATTATTAATAACTAAATTAAATACTAGCTAGTCTATATTATATAATAGACTATTAAATAAAAAGTTAAAAAGTCTAATAGTATAGTAATAATAGTATACTTTTATACTAATCTTAATACTAATTGGTTTATAATTAAACTAGAAAGCCATAATAGGGCTCGTTTAATAGCTGGGCCCACTTTTATTAACGATAATTATCGATATTAATCGTTTATTGATTGCTTAGCCAATAATAATTACTAATTAATAATTTTGATTAATAATTTATCGGAGCCTACACTGCTCCCCTATAAAGGTGAAATGATCATCGCGCGGGCGAAGGATGTATAGAACTCCTCCCCCAAACAAGAGCCAGATCTCATCTCCTGGCTGCGCCTGGGCTCCAACTCCAATGTGGCCGTCATCCGTGACAAACATTAAATGCCCAGGAAGGGATCTAGTTACATTATGAATGTGAAAAGATTCCAAATTTTGAACGCCGGTTTCCTCGAATTCGAGAAATTTTTTGAGTTCTGCTTCATGGAAGATATCTTCTGAACTGCTATTTATCCTCCCAGCTGTGATGGTTTGAGCGAATGCTTCTCCGATAGAATCAGGTCCTTGATAATTAGGTAAGTCATTCTTGACCTGGGCATAGAGTGCCGAGATTGCAGGACTGCGTGCCATGAATCCCGGACGACTGCGATCGTAATATTCGGGACTCGAGTGTGCATTCTTGACAGTGGTAAGGCGTATGCCCTTAAGTATTAGTCTCCTTGGCGACAGATGTGGGAGTCGCTCAACAACTGAGTTGTGGCTAGTAGCCCACCGACGAGCTTGATCTCTGGCGATTAGGGAGTTGCACCAAGGCACCTGTCTGTCAAATCGAGGAACCCAGGTTGGAAAATCTTGCTCGCCATGGGTTTTTGGAGTGGCGTCATCGGTGGAGCACAATGAGGGGGTGACTGTAGGTTCTTTCATGCGAGTTATCTCGTTCCTGCCCAATACGTCAAGCCCTCCTTCGCCGAAATCAATTCCTCTTGGCGCAGAAATGAGCTGTATTACGAGGTCGGTGAAAGTCCCCACAGTAGATTTCCGATAGTCCGGTTGAATCAAGGGATATTTCTCTAGTCTCTTTCCTTCTTGCGAAAGACCAATAACTGCATATAGCTTGTCCCGAGCATTGCTGGCATTGAAATTCGAGAACCTCGAGATGACATTTAGAAGAGACGGAGAATGACCCCAGTTGAAAATCGTGTCTTTCACAATCATGGCTTGAACCAGATTGTCTTCGTCCTGTAGAGATTCTGTATAATGCTTGGCTCTGAAGAGGAGGGCAGCGTCGGCCACGGCGATCCAAGGCACGGAATGATCTCCTATCAGCATATCCGCTAAGAAATCTTGTGCAACTTGTTGAATGACCCAAACTCTGGAAAACCACTCATTCCTGTATAACCACCATACCGCGTTCCAATCTGCATGACCTGGCCGAGGGATGTTCCCATTTGTGTTGAAATAAGGATTGTCTTCGAGTTCAAAAAGTATCTCATCTGATGGCACATTTCTATTGCGCTCTGTCATATATTGCGCAGCGTAAGTGATGATTGATATTGCCTTTGCAGCATAGCCGTATGTATCTGGACCTAACCAGATCACAACACTCTTGGCGCGGCCGTATATATCTCTCATAAACGAGACTTGTTGAGCTCGCTCATCTAGATCATACTGATTGATACAGATCGTATCAATCCATCTGAAAGATCGGTGCAGGTCACGGACCACCCGCCTCTTGAACCCGACCAACGTCTAGGAAAGCAACAGACCTCTCGACCTTGGCCAAGTGGCACCACCCCCTAGTAGATTTTCAGATCGGGCATGAAGGTCCAGTGTGGGCTCCGATAAATTATTAATCAAAATTATTAATTAGTAATCGTTATTGGCTAAGCAATTAATAAATGATTAATATTAATAATTATTATTAATAAAAGTGGGCCCAGCCATTAAACAAGCCCTATTATAGCTTTCTAGTTTAATTATAAACTAATTAGTATTAAAATTAGTATAAAAGTGTACTATTATTATTATACTATTAGACTTTTTAACTTTTTATTTAATAGTCTATTATATAATATAGACTAGCTAGTATTTAATCTAGTTATTAATAATTCCATTAATAAAAGTGGGCCTAGCTAGCCCTTAAGCAAGCCCTATTACCTTAATAATTATTAATAAAAGTGGGTATAGCTAGCTATTAAACGAGTTCTATTATATAAATATCTCGCTTTCTAGTTTAATTATAAACTAATTAATATAAAGATTAGTATAAAAATAGATTATTATAAATATATTATTATATTTTCTATTTAATAGTCTATTATATAATATAGACTAGCTAGTATTTAATATATAATACTAAGATTTATATTATTATTTCTTCTAAAAAAGATTAAAATTTTTATATTTTCTTTTATTCTTTCTTTAATATATAATAGTATTTTATTTTCTATTATTTAAATATAGCTTCTAAATCTATTTTATTAATTTATTAAACTTCTACTAATATAGACTCGATTTAATTTAAATCTAATTCTAAATAAAAAGAACTTATAAGAGCTATTTAGGCTTATATTTATTTCGGGTAATCTAGATATAGGAAAACTATCTAAATACTACTATTATCTTTCTTATAAAAAGGAAAATCTATTAAATATTTATTTGACTTTAGTCTTTACTAATTAATATAATTATTTTAAATTAATATATAATATTACTATTAAGAGTAAATCGGAAATTAGTTTATTTTAATTAAAAGTAATTAACTAGCTATAATAGCTTTACTTATAAATAAAGTTATTTAGCTAAATAACTAAAATTAATATATATATCTTTTAATAATATCTTAATTAGATAGTAATTTATAAAATTTTAATTTTATTAATTATTATTTATAATTTATTTTTTTAAATAATTAAATAGTCCGAATTTTATATCTTTTATTAAATACTTAATCCAGAATCTTAGTTCTTTTTTTCTATAACTTATTCTTATATAAGAAAAAAGCTTAGGAAATACTAAATTAGCTTAAAGAATATTATATAACGAAAACTCTAGTCTATAATTTCAAGTATTTATTTTACTTTTAATATCTAAACTTTTCTATAAAAATATCTTTTTTTAGGTATTATTATATATTTTATTAAATAATAAAATAAGAATTATATAAAGGCCCTTCTAGCTCTTTATATATTAGAACATTTAGGAAAAGACTAATTTATGGTTTTATAACCTATATTTTAAGACTATAATATTACTAAATAATTTAGAGCTATTATTAGTAATAATACTAATATAAATAATATATTATATTAAGCTATTTAGGCTTATTTACTAAGGGAAAAAGAATTAGAATAAAATACTTTATAATAGCAGGTTTATTATTTAGGATATATTATTAACCTTTCTATATAAGCCTTTTTATTTTATAATATTTTTATAAATAGAAAATTAAAAATATTTAATAAATAAGAGAACTTAGGAGATTTAAAAGCCCTATTAAGTAATAAGGAAAAACAAATAAAATTTCGACTTTTAGAACTATTAGGCTAGCTTTATAATATTATTATATATATTTATTACTTTTCTAGTCGGATTACTAGATTTAAAGCTCTTACTAGAAAACTAATTTCTTTTAATAATCGGATATAATAGAATAACTAGTATATAATATTTAATATTACTTTTTAGTAATATACTTATTTTAATACTTATTATAAGAAATATTTTATAAATCTAAAATTAGATTATCTTAATTTAAAAAACTAGAAAAGGCTTTAGATAATTTCTATTTTTCTTAAATTATTTTATAAAGCTATTCTTAAGACTTAAAGAAATACTATAACTATTAATTAAGTACTTTTTATAATAAATATTTTAATTCGAGTATTTAATAGATTACTAGTAAGTAATAATTTTTATACTAATCTTTATATTAATCTTTATTACTTGAATTAATAATACTAACTATAATATAATAATATATATATATATAAATAATAAAAACTTTTATATTCGAATCCGGAAAAAATAAAAGATCTTTAATATATATTACTATAAATCTAATAATATACTTTTTTATATTACTACTTTTATACTTTATCCGAATTACTATATAAAGTATATTAGAGCTAATTAGGAAAAAAGATAAGTTTAGTCTATCTTAATTAAAATTAAAAAGCTTTAAGAGAAATATTAAGATTAGATATCTATTTCTAATAATTTAATACTAGTTAAGGAAATTAAATAGCTAGTAAAAAAAGAACTAGATGATTTTAATAAGATTACTCAGATATTAAAGAAATATATATAGCTAGTAAGTTAAGATAAATATAAAAATTATTATTAAAAGAAGTTATATAATATTAGAGACTTATTTATACTTTAATAATAATATTAAAATATATAAAAAAGGTACTAGCTAAAGCTCTTACTTATAATAATTAATATTCTCTTAATTCTAGTAATAAATACTAAAATAAAGCAAATCTTTTCAGGTACTTATTATATAGTATTATAAAATAGAACCTAAATAATAGCTAAGATTTTAGAAATAATAAAATACTTAAAGTATTAGAAAAGAAATAGAATTTTAAATATTTTTATTAATACTAGTAAAAGATAATAAGATTAGTATAAAAATTAGTATAATTATAATTATTTTCTTTATAATTTATAATTACTAGTATTTTAAAAATATAATATCTAGCTAATTACTACTTTTATTAAAGAAGTTTCTCAAATATTATTAAATAGCTATAGTATTTTCTATAACTTATAATTTAGAATTAGATAAGAAAATATATTAATATAAGCTATTCTTTAGCTTCTTTCTAATATATACTAGTAGTATTACTTTTCTATAGCCTTTTCGAGATTTAGTAAAAAAGTAAAAGCTAGTAATATTTAATTTAGCCTCGGATTCTAACTACTAAATAATAGGACTAGGAAAATTAATCTATTTATTATCTTCTTATATTTAACTAGCCAAGTTTCTTTAAATAGCCTTTTTGCCTAGTATAAAGAATTTAGTAGAACTAATAAATATAATATAATTACTATATAATAATTAGTAATTAATATAAAAATAAGTAAAATTTATATCTATTATATAATAATCTAATTTTATAAAATAAGAATCTTTTCTTTTTTTACTAAGTTTCCTATTATATTATAAACTTAATATATTTATATTTTTATTTTAGTTAGTTTTATACTAATCTTTATACTAATCTAAAAAAAAATTATATATCTTAGCTAAAGCTCTTTATATATTATTAGCCTTTTCTTTTATTTTATTTTCTAAAACTTATTTAATTTCTTTTTCTTAATTAAGCTTTTTCTTAGTCTTTTATATTTCCTTAAACTATATATTATTCTCGGAATTATATTTAATATCTTTCTATACCAGATTACTATTATCTCAAGCTATATATAAGCTACTATACTTATTATAGCTAAGTAATTATTTAACTACTTTCTAATTCTTTTCTTATTATTCTCTAAAGCCAGATTAGTATAAAGATTAGTATAAGAATATTCTAAAAATACTTCCTTAATTTAATATTTATAAAAAACTCTTATATTATTTCTTATTATCTTAATAATAAAGTACTTTTATATATTACCGAGCTTATTATCTTATATTTTATTACTATAATTATATCTTAATCTACTATTTTTGCCTTTTTAATCTTAATATAAATAAAATCTTTTATAAAAGCTTTATTATACTTATATATTTTTATAATATTTGAGTTTTAAAATAGATTTATTAGTATTTTTCTCTTATAAATAGTAATATAAATAGATCTAATAAAAAAGGCTAGTTAAAATATTATATTAATATAGCTATTATCCTATAATATTATAATTAGTATAAAGATTAATATAATATAAGTATAGATTTATTTTAGGCTCTAGAAATAATTTAATAATAATTACTAATATATTTAATATACTAATTATAATTTATTACTATAAAATATATTATAAGAATAATCTATATAAAGATTAGTAAATTAATTAATATATTAGAATACTAATTTATAGGTTATAGTATAAAGTTATATAATAGTATAATTAAGTAATTAAGAAAAGATTAAAAGATAAATAAGGTAAGATAAAATAAAATTAACTTTATAATATAAAATAATTTACTTTTAAGATATATAAAAAAATTTTAAGCTATTATTTTACTTTTCTTTATTACTTTACCTTTGCTAATATCTTTCCTTTAATTATATTATTTTAATTCCTTAATTAATTTCTTAATTAACTTCTTTTATAATATATTTCTTAATTTATATTAATTACTATATTAATTAAGATATAGTAATTATAATCTCTAATTAATTATTTAATTATAATACGAACTAAATAAACTAATAGCAAGTATATTATTTCTAGGAAAGCTTTTATAAGTAAGACTCTAAGAAAGATACTTAGTAGAAAAAGGCTATATTTCTATTATTATATAAATAAAGAGAAAATATAGGTTTAGATCTAATAATTAGTTAATTAGTAAAAATATTAGTATATTTATTAACTGGATTTATAGCTAAGGCCCTTTAAGAAATCAGAAAATATTAAAGAAATACTATTTTATTAATTAGTAAAAGAGATTTTGGCTCAGGAAAATAAATAAGATATATATATCTAAGCTTTAGCTTTATATACTTTATAAGAGTCTATAGAGGCACTTCTTATTATAGAGTTTAAATATAAGTTATTTTTCTTAATTATACTAATTTTTATACTAATCTAATTCCAGTAATAAACCTTATAGCCATTTATATAAAGCGGGTTACTATTCAGAAAAAGAATATAAAGCTAGTCTAATAAATGAGATTAGAAATAATAGGCATTAGCAAGGTTAGCAAATACCTTATAGTAGTACTATAAAGTAGTTAGTTTATTTGGGTTACTAGTAAAGTAACCAGGTTAGATATTAGGAAATTAACCTTTATATCTAAGGCAAAGCAGTTAGCTAGCTATTAGATTAATAAAGCAATAACTTAAATTATTACTTTTTTAATATATCTCAAATTAGTTATATTCTTTAAAGAACTAGTATAAAGATTAATTAATTGGAACAGAGAGCAGGAGGGGCAGATTCTGCCGGGCCCCTCACCGCCTAGAACGATAATTATCGCCAATTATCGATAATTATCGATTATCGACAAATTAGTGCAATTATCTAATCATCGCTTATCGAGCTTATCGGAGCCCACACTGTGAAGGTCGCGAATTCCTTCCTTCCGTCAAGTCTGCTTCACTGTCCGACTTTCTTTGCCCTGGTGGCTATATCGCAGCCGTGTGCCATGGCTTAATGAATAAATTATGCAGTATTGAATGCGGCTCCATGGGTGTCTTGGATCTACGGTGGGAACCGTTTTTGGCCACCACCCCCTGCGCCCGCCGCGTCTCCATCCCCCCTCCCGTCCTCTTCCAAGCAGGCCCTTTAAATCCCCCCGTTCCGCTATTTGTAACCTACCACTCTTTGAAAACCGATGTGGGCTGTACCAAATGTCGTAACTTCTATTTCCTTATCCTTCTTTTAAAGATTTCTTCTCATACCCGTTACTAATACCTCCCTCTAAGAAACGAAGATTCCTTTAGTCTAGCGACCTTGAAGCAGCGAGAGTAAAGCGAAGGAAGGTTATACAAGGATATAGTAAAGAGCTATTAAATAATTCTCTCAAAGTTGTAAAAGAAATCGTGGACTGTCACAAAAGAATAATGATAGAGTGGGAAGAGTATGTTTTATAGTTTTCTAACTTGCCATAAACTAACCGCTCTATAGTTACGAGCCTAGTATCATCAGTCTGTGTTTTTAGCGAATCTTTCAGGCATTGCAAAACCAAAGTTGCCTACTTCACTTCGTAGTTTCACAATAACTACAAATTAAAACCTTATTATAATTCAAGCGCACACGATAAAAGAAGCTAGAATGAGTTTATTAGGCCTTTATAACTAATTCAAAATATAAGGTAAAGTGTCCAAATTGGTTATAGGGTTCGTTTCTTAGCGAAATGCCTTAGAAATACAGACTTACAATACTAAGCTCGTTACTTCCGTGATATTGAAGTGGACCCGGATAGTATAAGCTTGATCTTTGTCTTAATAAAGATCTCGCAAAGGATAGAGTTCGGGGCTTCTTAGAGGGTTATATTAATAGCTCCAAGGAGCGGGTCCCTATACTTGGGCTGAAAGAAACTGCCTTAATTTAGACTATGACATTAGCTTACTCACCCTTGGTTGACGGCCTAGCTAGTTGTATTTAGCGGCTCAGGTATATTGAACCTCTTGACTCGCTTCCAGTGCCTAATTTCTTTGAATCCTATATAATACATAATGTATCGACTCAAAGATGCTTTATATTTAGCTGCTACGCAATATAGACTATATCTTGAAACATCTTCGGCAATGTCTCCAACGGAATGCTTTCTATATGAGCGTTTATGGAACATATAGCAATTATAATAGGCTGTATCTCTCCCTAACAGTGACTTAATGCTGCATAGAGTCTTAGTCGAGAGTGTGCATCCCGAGCATGGCCGCAGCGCACGCTAAGCAAATCTCGCAGTTCCAAGTATGTACATTAAACATCCCCTGTCTCCCTTCTTTGATACTGAACCGGCTCTCTCCCTCCGGGTCAACGAAAAAGTCAAAGCAAGCATTGTGAAATTGGAATCACAACTTTTTTCGAGAAGTTGCTTCTAACTTCCTCCGGATTACTCTTATCATCACTGTAGCAAGAGAGACAGTGCCTGACCGCTTCCCCATATAATTCGCCCATATAACTCTTGACAATCTTGATATGGGTTTTCAGGAGATGCTCGTGAACTTTCTCAGGAGTACCGCGAATGGACTGGAGAATCCCTTTCAAGTCTTTCCACAGGGCAATCTCTAGCAAGACCAGGCCAGCGCTATAGTAATCGAATTCCTGTCGGAAACGGCTGTTGGGACTTTGGGAATCATCGGTGTATTTAATGATGTTCCTACGGTATACGGGATGCTGGTATTCCTCCTGTGGCCCGGATAGAGTCGAAAATGCATTCTCGTCATTAAGGCGACTGTGGTTAAAGCCAATAAAGAATGGATACCTGAAGGATTCTTCCAGACTATCGAACGCATTGTTGAAGTATATGATGTTGAAAGAGCAGATAGATTTGTGCAGCCAGCCCGCACGATGGAAATCCAGAATATAAGATACTAGATTCGAAGCCAGCTTGAATTTTTCTGTAAGAGACGGCTGTTTGGTCCTTGATTGAGTATCGTTGACGGCTTGCGCTAGGGTTTGAGGGTCTGTGTTTTTTGCCAGGAGTGGAAATTCGTAGACAATTCCAAATTGGGATCGAACAGCGTCATGGTAAAAGCCAATACACTTAAGTACTGGAAAGATCTCGTTTATTTTTCCATGTCTTCGAAGGAATGCAATTGCGTTGACGCGTTTCAGGAGCTCGTCGGTACGTGATGCCCAGGATGTTTCATATTCCATGTATTCTATCAACATCCTTTTGCCAGTAGTTTCATCGGTTTTAATGGAGTGATGATGGAGCTCAGCCACTGGTAGTCGAAGAACTGACTGATCAACAGATAGATCCATGTCTGAGGAATTCCGCTGTATTAGTGCCGAGGTGACTTCTTTCATAGTCACAAGGGATGCAATATGTCGGTAATTGAATGCAGATCCTCCACCCTCTTCAACTGCCAATTGCAAGTCATTCTGAGTTGCAGTGCTATAATGCTGCAGCATTACCTCTTCTAAACGGCTGAGCATATCTCGGTGCACGCCGCTCGACTGCATATTCCATAGTTGATCCAAAAGTTTCTGAAGGTTATACGAAAGAGGATAAGGCGGCGTACTATCCTGAGCCAGTTGCTCTGCAACAAAATCAACCTCTACTTGGCATCGCTGCAGAATGTCCTGGGTACTCTGGTACTCCTTCTGAGAACGTGGTTTTGCCCACCAATCATGATAGGGCATGTGTTCCCAGTCAGTTGCAAGCCCAAAAGCATCCCCCCAGATCCTTAAACGTTGGAGTTCAATCTGTAGCTCGAGATTTCTTGGCCTTATACAATATTCCAGAGTTGAACATGCCTTTTCCAAAAGATGGCGCTGTGCCAGATGAAACAAGCGCTGACTGATCTTCGAAACTTTTGGCCGCTTGTCTGGCTCAAATTGAAGGCTTGCTTTGACTACGCAAGCTAATGACTTGAACCTCTCCTCATGTGCGAGCTGTGTACTGAACCGGTCTAAGAAATTTGTGACTTCTGGATTGATGTCATTGACTCCGTGAAAATGATGGCAGATCGAAGGACCGAGTTTTATTTTCCGTTTTTCGTAGAAGTAGGCCACCATTTTGGGACCACCACCAGGGCCACCACTCAGGTAAGCAAAAATCTCAGCGAGAACGCAGCCCAGAGACCAGATGTCACTAGATCTCCCAATCAAACCAGGTTTAAAGTCTTGATCGGATGGCTCGCATTCTGGAGCAAGATAACAGCCTTCTCCCTGTTCAAACAGCGAGCGCGAGTCATCATCTTCCGGGATAAGCTTCGATAACCCGAAGTCAGACAACACAAACCTTCCTTGATAGCAAAGGATGTTTCTTGGCTTGATATCGTAATGACAACCAATCTGTCGCACATTGAACTCGTTCTCAAAATATTCATGGACGGCCTCCAGGGCCGATGAAAGTCCCCACAGAGAATTGAAAATTTGGTCGTCGGTTTGGAAACCTGGAAGTCGCGAGTTCGATAGGAGCAAGGATTTCAAGTCGCTATCAGCAACGGGAAGAAGGAAGTTATAGGTCGGTCCTTTTGTGTAGGCTGTAATGAGCTTTACGATATTGGGATGTTTCAAGCATCGTAGCGACGATAATAGGTGCAATTCATGGGCGTAATCTTTCTCTATTGTACTGCCGTGCTTTGGCCTTACGACTTGTTTACAAATCAAGTCAATCTGATATAGATAACGAAGTCAGATTTAACGTCGCCCAAATACAAATGGAAGGTGGATTACTTCTTTTTCAGTGTCTGAAATTTGATGATGTGACGAATCTACCCGGATTTTGAGGATTTTAGCAAATCCCCCATGCGCAACTGTTTCAGACGAAAGGTATGGGAGTATAGTTCGATCGTCAAGCTCACGATGTGGTTGATCCTCGCGAAGAACTGGGGCAAGAAACCTCCACTGCTTTCGATAAAACTGCAGGCTGATATCTGAGTCCCGTAAGATATCTTCTAGGCTTGGTTCGGTCATCGGAAGCTTCGAATCAAATTGGCCGCCCGAGAAGTAATCTGTTTTGAGAAACGATACAATCAAGTGGATTCTGCGAATAGTTGCGAGCGTGGCGAAGAGTCGTAGACCGTTGTTCAAGACCGCTTTTGTTATCTCGGTCCTATCATAGAATTGTATCTGTTGCTGTTGCAGAAGATCCATGATTCTGTCTCGTGTGAATAAATTTTCGAGTTTGCTAAGAGGTATGAAGTATTTGTGCTCAAAATTCTCGATCTCTAGAGCATCGAGCTCAGCACAGATATCTGCCATAGCTTAAGCTTGAGCTGAGAATGAGAGTAGGCGATCTTGATCTTGATCTTTGCTTCTAGGTAATGATGTACGAAGCGAACGGAAGTGATCCTGCTGCCGCGCGAGGGTCTGTTCCATCAGGGTCTTGGCAAAGTCTTGACAAATCATTTTACGTTAGAAGGGTTTACTAGGCACACGTCCAAACCGCGCAACGATCAAAATCAAATGCGGCCACAACAACAGTATAGTTTAGAAAACTAGTGTTAGATTCGAGCTATTTGGTCTATTATTTATTAAATATCATGTTTTGGGAATTTTCTAAGCACTTTGAAAAATTCCCATTTTCCAGTGTTCGGACACGGATATGGATTTTGGGCGGTTGCGTAATTTGTGGTGTGCCTAGTGAACCCTTCAAGCCCTTCTAAATAGGCGAGTCGCACGTGATTTGGTATCTTATTGGGGGTGAAGAACAGACCACAATCTCTCTCTCTCGTTCTTTTCCCCTTAGTTTAGTATTCCTCTGTTTCTAAAAGCTTTGTAATATCTTAATATTACCCCTCTCAATTTTATTAACTCTCAAGCCCGCTACTCGCTCTGCGAAACTTCTGCTTTGCGCTGCAACTGCAGCCTAATCCCTCAGTAGTGAGGGCTCATGCCGCCGCTCTAAGAAATCACAAACTTGCAGACCGGGCAGCAAATTCTCGTGGCAGACTCGGACGAGTAGGAGGGAAGGAAGGCGGATCGGCATATGGCCACGTCATCTTATTTCGCATACCAATGAGCTTTCCCACAATGTGTGTGTCAGATTTCTTTAAAAGAATACAAACTATATCGCGCTAGTTTTCTATTTCCAATGCTAACCAATCTCCAACAATGGTTGCTCAGACCATCTCCAGCCGCTATGTCAGTAAACAGAAGCTGAAGAATCTTCTCAAGAGCTTGTTTATAGAAGGGACGTATGAGTGGGAGGTACGAGTAGCGCATCGCATCGCATCTAGTATTAATGTCATATTCTGATTCAACTGGCTTCTCCAGGAGAAAGACACAGCTACAGATCCGACCGTGACGCTGTATGTACCAAGAAAGCTCACAGACGTAAGTGCGATTTCCAGATCCTAGGACCACTGACAGTGGGCATTCCAATCTTTAGATTCAATGGCTAACGCCCTGACTGTTGAATTAGGATGAATTGGAAACGATAAAGCCATAGTGAAACTTAGGGCTGAGCGCGCGTTCTGTATTTGAGCAGGTGGGGCTCTGCAGAGAGCTCAGGACAAATCTTTGCATTAGTGGGAAAATTGTGCTGAACAAGTGGAGAAGTATTCAGGATGCAGACTATCTATGAAATGTAATTTTTTCGTTGGCTCACAACAAATTTCGTTTGAGGCTGTGAGCTCCGTCGGGCATTCCTACATGAGGCTGTCGCATTGCCGAGGTCGATCTACCTTTATGCGACCTCAACCCTGCTGGATCGCGTATCCTTATATCCACAGGATCATGGCGGTGCTGAAAGAGGAGGGCGTATGATTTGATGGCCAGCATCTGATGGTCGTAGCAAAGTATGCCTGGCGAGACTTGAGGACATTCTATGAGGCAGGATTAATGCTCTTACCCCTCCTTCGCCGATTATAATGGGCATATAGGAGCCTCCTCACCATCACAACATATCTTACGCCTTCTAACCGTTTTCTCAAATATCTTCAAGCAAGGATCACAATACGTCGATTGCTCACCGACTCAACCATGGATTGCAGAAGCCTAGCTCGCCTGCTAGATAGCAGTAGCCACCTATTGCCTAGCGATGAAGAGTCAAAATCGCTTTTTCATGTCACTCAGATCAAGGCAGACAGCCTGCAGCTTTGCTTAGAGATGGAAAGGTAGGAAACTCATCCAGACAATGAAGAGTGTGTGTGTACTAAAACCACATCGGAAAGATTTACCTCCACCACAATTCTAAATGAACGGCAGCTGGAAGACTCTTTATCTGTAAACCATTCTATTCTTGTCTCGTATGGAAAACTGACATTTAAGATGCAGACTACTGTGAAAAAAAGAATGATATTCTAGTACGTTTTGCGATATTATTATCAACATTGCGAGTACCACCTGGACACAATTTGCTACTGATATTGCCAACAGCCTCCTTGGACAGCAAGACACTTGGAGCCGGATTCAAATTACGTTCAGTGGTTTTAAGTCTTTGATGTACAACCTGAACTGCTTTCCTTCATTTTGGACTGTTGTCAGAGGCTTTGGGCTCAAGTTTGAGCCCAAGGACGAAAATCATATCGAATACAGAAGCAATTTCGATTTCGGAACTGTGTGAGTTTCGCCACTCGGAATAAATGCGAAATTTACTGAGATAGATTTCTAGGCGCGAGCTCGGAAAGGTAGAAATGTGCTATAATATTCGGTACTTTGATTTACACAATCGGCCACATACGAAGGCCCTTTGGTCTGAACGACAAATGGCTGTGTACCAGTGTTTTAATATAGTTGATAAAACTTCTATATGGGTCATTATACAGGCCCCAGCTAGAATCAAATCCCGCCTCAGAGACTTTCTCGCGGCACCGTGTGGAACGAAATTGGCTGCGACTGACCATGTGGCACCGCATCTCCTTTTCTTCTTCCAGCTGGCAGGCAGCTGGAGGGCTTATGTCAACTTTCTTGATGTTCAGCTTATGGAAATGGTAAGATTCTCTTTCTGGTCTACACCATTTATCTAAACTCTACATGGCAGGATGAGAAAGCATTGCATTCGAATGTCGGTAGCGTTTGCAAATCCGATTACACCGTATCGTTCAGCGACACCCAAAAGCTGGAGCTCATTAGGAGAAAGTTGGTCAAAGCAGCTCTGGTCCTAAAGTCAAATACAGATGTTGGGAAATCATGGCGTGAAGATATGGTTGAGTTAAAAAAGCAAATACCCAACCTCGAACTACAAGGCACACTTAGGATCGTCCAACAGTACGTCACCGATCTCGAAAGACATTCAACAGTAGTCCATTCTCTTTTAGAGAGGCTAAGTGGGACGGAGAAGCTGGTATGAACAAGAAACTCTTGTGATAAGTTTTATCGACTGATTTTCACAGCTGTTTCAAATGCTTGAGTATAGACATGACGAGCTGAAGATCCGGACCAACAATTCTATCCATAGTAACGGCGAACAACTGAGAATAATTACAGAACACACAGTAGCTGGAAATGATTTTATGACGAGATTGACTGCAGATATCCACAAGGATTCGAAGTTTATCAAGATCATAACCTTCATCGCCTTGTTATACACCCCAGTCTCATTGATAGCAGTGAGTGATTGGAGTGAACTTCCGAGAAGTAATACTGCTAATTTGGCTCTCAGACTATATTTAGTTCTAATCTGGTTCAAGTATTAAAGGATACTGATGAGCGCGGGAATTCACGCATAGTGCTCGTATCTGATTTCTGGAAGTTCCCAGTAGTGGCCGTATCATTGCTCTGTGTTACCATACTGCCGGTCTTCCCATGGAGAAGAATGTGGTATATATATAAGAATGCAACTTAAAGTTTATGGATGGCGTGAATCAACAGAACTGATAGATTGTTTGGATGGCAAACTTCTAGGTGATCCCTGATCGATGACTTAAGAACTTGGCACAGGCATTAATATAAAATGAAAGGTTCCCTGCGTCTTCTAGAGTCGGTCTCTCTCCTAGCCTCGCTCTTGGCTATTAAATTACGGGAGCTTCAGTGAAGAAATTTTGGTGTTCCTTCGCAATCTGGCCCGTGCGACGCTAAAACTGGCTTCACCTCGCCCATCAGACACGACAATCAGAACACCAAAATTTTAGATGATTTTCAAAATGCTTCAAAAATTCTAAAAAGGACTTCCCGAACCACTATAATAAGATCTTTAATCGCAAATATAGACTTAGTTTCTCGAGTTTATAACGTTGTTGTGGCGATATCGTGCTTTGGGCGGTGGAAGGGTGTAGGCAGGCAACAGGTGGGCGAGCCCCTTCTATTTATGAACGAATAAGAGTTGAATATTTGGGAAGCCCTGCTAGCGTGGACGGTTGGCACTGGAGGAGCAGGAGGGGGATAGCTTCTATCTCAACACACATACAACCTCAGCACAACACACACAACCCCGGCACACGCACAGCTTCAGCACACCATGGAGCCTGATTCTCCAGCCCGCGATATAGCTATTGGGATCTCCCATCTCGAACTTACTGAAGGTCAATCATCTTCAGACGTTCTCGTGTCATATTACTCGTCCAACGGTTTTTCACAAAGTGCTTCCTGCGAGCAAGCCTCTACAATCCACCTGCCGCCTCACTTCATCTCATTCTTAACAGTTGCTCAGGACTTAGGCATCGACCTGTGTTCCGTCAAGTGGCATCCCGCTTTAGCACGAGTTGGAGAAGGTCGAACCGCCGAAATCAGCCAAGCCTTGATAACGTTGCAAACGAACTTTGTCTTCAAACGAATAAAGCCAGCAACTCCGTCGCAGCTTGCCGAGCGCCGCGCTCTTCAGGCGATGTACACCGAAGTCTCTATTTTGGGACAGCGACGCATTCGTAACCACCCGAACATGATAAGGCTCGAAGGCATATGCTGGGACGTATGGGAAGAGAAAGATGGAGGAACACCAGAGGTTTGGCCAGTCTTGGTGTTTGAGAAAACGCCATACGGAGACCTCGATACATTCTTGAGATCCGGCCAAGGTCAAAACCTCAAGTTTGAAGAGAGGTTACAACTTTGTTCCGGCATTGCGTCCGCGGTAAGCGAGATGCACGCCCATCGTGAGTGCTCGAAAAGCCATATCCTTGCCTAGCCATCCCAGCTTATGTTGAAGCAGATGTTATCCATGGTGATATTAAACCAGCGAATATTCTGATATTTCAGAATGAATTGAACGGTTATATTGCAAAAGTGGCTGACTTTGGCTATTCCACAGTGGGCACGGCAAATGGGCTTGTCTATCTACCAAAATCCGTTCCATGGAACGCCCCTGAGCACCACGGCCGAGATTTCACATTTCAGACAGCTATAAAGACTGATACCTATTCATTCGGCTTAGTTTGTCTACGCATATTGTTTGAAGACCTGCTCTTACAACATTTCCCGAAGTTTTCGGAGGCTTATGAAAAGGAGAATTTTCTCCTGGGAAAAAATATAATTGTCAAAACATCTGCGGTTACACAATATGAAGCAGATCTTCTACCGTTCGCAATTGATGCTGTGAAAAACAAGGAGGGGCTTGAATTAAGCCAGAAAAAAACCTTAGAGAAACTTTTCAAAGTTACAATCGCTGGAGATGCCAACTTAAGAAGTGATGACTTTTCGGAGCTTCAGAGGCTCCTGAGCAACGACCAGTAAGTTCCCTACGCATTGAAGTATTGAGTTGGCTATTTGGGAAGTTAATACGTATATAGGGATATCCTAACAATGCTCAGCTATGACAGAAGGAAGCCAGCGTTGCTTTCTTGTCACGCCAATTTTCAAGTGAGTGATTCTACAAATCTATACTGCAAGCCACGGTTTTAATATTACTCAGATAACTAAGTCTATCCTTTTTCTTGTGGAATCACATTACCTCGTGCGAAGATACATCGTCAAATGCTTAGAAGACTTCTACACAAGCTCTGATTGTCAAATATGCAAACGGGAGGTTGCTTTCCAGTTAGCATTCGCTTACAACGTTGGATTTGGTGCCGCTCGAGATGCAGAAATATGGTTGCGATGGTTAGAAAGGAGTGGACGAACAGTTCTTGATCTTGAAGTCGCAAAGCAAGTGGCAGAACAGCCATACTGGCGATATAGAAGTGAAAAGTTGCAAGATTTAGATCAAAACGGCTATCTTCGTGCAGATATTGTGGCGGAGTATCATAATGAAGGAAGGATCGTGGATGCAGAGAAGGAATGCCGAAGAGAAGTCCGGGATTTTGAAGCAAGTTTTGGACAGAATAACGTCATAATTAAGACGTTAAAACTCCAGCTGGCGGATATTCTGCAAGCAAGAGGGAATTTTAGTGGAGCAGAAGATACATTAAGGACCCTGAGCTGCGAGGGCGAGACAGGCTTACGTCCAGGAGATGATGATGGCACCTTCCTAGATATCCGAAATCGACTGGCGATTACATTATATCATCAGGGGAAGAACGAGGAGGCCATGGAAATACTCCAAAAAGACATTGAAATGAAAAAGAGCCTGATGGGAAAAGGAAGCAGATCAATATTGCATAGCAAGGTCACGTTGGCTATGGTCCTCACGGAAAGGGGAGACTACGCCGCTTCCGAAAAATTGATTCGAGAAGCTCTTGAAAGGCTCGAAGAGCTCTTAGATCCGGATGATCCAGAGGTCCTAACAATAACTGGTAATCTGGCGCAGATTTTATCCAAACAGGGCAGATATCAGGAAGCCGGGGATTTAGAGGTTCGAACACTAGAAGGGAGAAAAAAGGTTCTTGGGCCCGAACATCCAGACACACTCACCAGTTTCAGCAACCTCGCCCTTGTGCTGTCTAATCAGGGCAAAAATGAAGAAGCAGAGCGCAATCAACGGTACGCCTTGAAGATGCGACAGAAAGTATTTGGGAACATGCATCCGGACACGTTGACTAGCCTGGACAACCTGGCCGCTTTGCTTAGCCGACAGGGGCAGTTTGAGACTGCCAAAGCTATGCATGAAGATGCGCTGGAGGGTAGGGAGAATCTATTAGGGAAGGAGGACCCTCAAACCCTTGCTAGCATGAACGGTTTAGCTACGGTTCTAGATCACATGGGGGAATTTGGAGAGGCAGAGAAGCTTTACAGAAAAAACCTCGAGATTAGTGAGAAGGTTCTTGGAAAGGGCAATCCTGATATTTTTGGAAGAATGAGCAACTTAGCAGGGGTGCTACAGAGTCAAGGCCAGTATAAGGAGGCAAAAGAAATAAATGAGCTGGCCTTGACGAGGGGGAAAGAAATATTGGGCGACGATCACCCTCTCACTTTGTCTATTGCAAGCAACCTAGCACTTGATCTTCAGAGGCTAGGAGAACTCCAAGCCTCCGAAGCACTATACCGAGGCATATTCGAACAGAGCAAAGACGCGATGGGACTTTGTCACCACATCACGCTGGCCATAATGGGTAACTTGGCGGACCTTCTCCGGGTTGAGGGAAAATTTGAAGAAGCAACGCAAATGAATCATGAGGTTTTAAAGGCAACAGAGACAACTCTAGGTGAAAATCACCATGCTACCCTCACGGCTGCTCAAAACCTTGCAGGCTCACTCCATTCCCAGAAACGCCATGCCGAGGCGGTGCCTTTCTACATAAGAGCTTGTGGAGGGCTGAGGGTCCTCTTGGGGCCCGATCATCCACAGACCATGGAATGTTTCAGAAATTATTTTCAGATGATCGAAGTCATGTCGGAGGACGAAATCCAAGCTTTGTCATAAGATATGTGTAGCCGTAGCAGGTGGGCTATGACTTGCTGTTAGCCATAGGCCCATTTTAATCCAGCAAGTTTGAGATTTCAGATGAGCTGCGGGAACATGACCCCAATCTCCTCACCGGCTTAAGATTCATTGCCTGCCCATCGTCCCGAGACTTTTCTGATCTTCGCATCTCCTTATATCAACTCAGCCCGGCCTGCTAATAACACAGTTCCGCTCACCTCTGAGCAAGAACGAGATTCGTTCAAAATAAGATCATCCTTCGTACGAGGTAAACAATCTGATGCTATGCTACCCCGCAATTTCAGCCCCCAACATTCCATACCCTGGCAACCTACACATGGCAGGGTTTCAGGTGTCTCGCAGCACTGTAGTAGCACGAGTAGCTAGATCTCAGATCATATTACTAAGTAGAATAATAAAGTATGCCTTTGATTGATCTCTTATAGCTAATCGTAACCCAATAGACTAAGTAGATTTTCTTAAATCTTATAAAGTTTTCAGGTGCTTCCCTGGTGAGTGCTGGCAATTCTCTCCCGTGGAAGAGATCGGCGCCCAGATGAAAAAACCAAAGTCTAGAACATGAAACCATGCCTGGAACCGCTCCATAATTGGTCAATAGGAGACGGCAGAGGCCGTGGCTGCATGAATTCAGGTGTGGTGTCTACGAGTCTAGACTTGAGACATACAGTTCACATTGGTCCATGACAATAAGGACCAATGGGAACGGAGTACGTATGGTTTGTAATGCAGGATTTCAATATTGGCGTTCGCTCAGCCGCTCCAAGGTTTCAGACCTGGGAACTTTAGCATTAATATGAACTAATAGGATCCGCTCTCTTCATCTACTATTTCTACGGTCCAGAATTAGCATGAACCCTATCCCGCGTTTTAAGCCTCAACATGCTCCCATGTCTTACTTTTCTTCTCCGTCCCACCATCGTTGATCACCTTTGCGCCTACCTCCCCTCCTTTAGTGCAATCGAGGCGTTTTTAACTCATATGTTATCGCTGGAAATAAGCTTTTTCAATTATGGCACGGCAGTAATACTTACCCTACTCGTAGACTTCTCTTACAAGAGATAATGGCGACCTTAGTCTAAATCTACCTCGTTACAAGTACGAAGACACTTTAGATTACGGCAACCTCGAATCTCTATCTAGTAGACTAGATAGGCCAAGGACTCTTTCAAGCAACGAGAGTTATAAACTAGAGGAATAAGTAGTATATTCCATGCATTTTTATAGTACATTAATAACAGTTCTAGTTGGCAATTATCTGTCTCTTTAGCTCCTCTCTTATAGCTTAATAATTGTTTAACAAACAGGTATTCAATTATCAAACCGGAGATTCGGGAATCAGTTAACGATAGCTAGAAACAACCATAGCATGGCTTCTCTGGTTGAAAAGTTGGAGTGGCAATGTGCTCGGCTACTACAATAGCAGTCTGTCTATTAAACGTCGGGCTAACTGTGTAGGCTGTAAGAAACTATCAAGTAATTAATAGGTTATTATATCTATACATTAGAAGCTGCTAGGAAGTTGCAAGGATAATTTTATAGATTTATTTAGGAATTAATATTATAAGTACCTTGCTGCTTAGCGCTAGTAATTGTACACTCTACACTTAACTACTAAGGAATTGTTTATAATAGAGAATAGCCTAACAAGTCTTAGATATAATACAAGTCATAAGTAGCCTAACTCGAAAGGAGGTAGATAAGGCACACGTAAAGTATAGCTAGCTAGATATAGGAATACCTAGTATCTACAACCTTCGAGCAATATCCTAGGTTAGAATATTTATATAAGCGATCCTTGGATTAAGCTTAGTGCCTTTACATCTAATGTGTGTCATTTTTGCTCGTTGTCCTATCTCGTTTTAGTTATTGTTTCATCGAGCTAGCGTGCTAATGTCGATCAGGTATAACACTGCCGTCTTCTCTACCATTTCCGCAAATAACTATTATATCATCCTCGTAGTTCAAGACTTCCTCGGATCTTTATCTAATTATAACGTGTATAACAACGGGTCAGCCGAGTTGGCCGATTCTAGCGTCCTTGATACCTTGCACGAAGCGGCAGTGAACGATAGGCTCGTAAACTATACTTCCACAGACTACATGACCGCGTACGGCGTCAATTTTGTAAGTAAAGTTCGCAATGTCCTACTAGTAACAAGCGATACAAACACCTTCAATAACTCAGTACTTAATTCAACCAGGGTATATAGTGAGTACGGAAATCCTTACTTCTAGATATGTGGCGGTGACTGGAACTTTGATACAAATGGGAATTCCCTACTCTGTACCCTATCCGTTTCCAAAGCCGCAGCTTCAGATTGGACTATCGGTGGCTATCGCATCAGCTACTATATAGTTGAAGAGGTCGAAGAAAAATGCTAGCTAAGCTTTAGTCTTCTTATCATACTCGTGGTGATCGGTGTTAACGTCACTAAAGCATATATAAGTACGTATTTTCCTCTCAACTTATTAGTATCCCACCACGATATATATGGCAATAGTAGGTCTGAGGTCAAATTCCTAGTATAGAATTAGAGCCTTGGCATTGCTAATTGAAGAGCTGACCGTTACCTTTCCAGTGATTCTAGCTATTTAGAAATTGAACAAACCGACTCTTGTCACAATCGGTGATACAATTGCCTCTTTTCTATAAGATCCGGATCCCACTACCTGAGGTATTTGCCTTAGTACTAGAAGGGGTTTCCGAGGTGGAGTGTGGGCGCTGCGGGCTGCGAGACCATGGATGCCGGTATGGCATTTTTAGTTTTCGAGCTACAAGTGTCAAAAGATAGCTGACGTGCAACCTTCTGTAAGGGCCAGAGCTACTGTATTCTACCTCCTTAATTATATCTAATAAACCCAGATGTGTAGGGTTTATCGGAGTTGGGATCTTCTTTCTTGGCCTTGGGGCATTAAACCTCTTTATTAACAACATCAAGACTATCTGGAATCTTAGTTTCGGCACTATGAGCACCTATACACTCGTCGGCATCGCCCCTATAAGTATCATCCGCACTATCCTTTTTGCCAACCTCCCCCAAGGCGTCCTCTCTTTGCTCTACTTACTATATGACAGGCTCTTTTCCTACATGCTAGGTGCCCAGGAATAGAGTCACTTCGCGCGTTTCCGCAAACCGTTGCGCGTCACTGCCCCCGAGGGACGACAGAGATCGAAGTATTATCTGCAGCTACGTTATACATATGCCATAGTAAGTCCACACAGTTATCTTAAGAAGGGATAAAAGTACTTTCCAAGCTAAAATGTATAACTAGCCACTTATGCTCATGTCCGGCGGCCTGCACTAGCTGATGTCTCAAACGATGTTCCTCGCTCTCGTAAATATCTACCACCCAAATAGTTACCTCGAGAAAGAAAGTTCAATCTCGACTATTGGCTATTCGTGCCTCGCTCTCTTCTAGGTGCTAGTTTTAGGAAGCGTAGGTTTGCTTAGTGCGATCGCGAACGGATTTCGAAGGTTCGATGATAGGATTCCTTTGGTAGGGAGTTGTAGCGCTACGATTAGTGCTGCTTGTCATCGACCGAGTGAGGACTCGATGGCGCATTTGAAACCGGTAATATAGGGCATAGTAGGCGGGGAGAATGACGTAGGTGATTGTTGTTTTACTAGTTTTGAGGTTGAAAAGCCTGTGACAGGGAATTTGTATACTGGGGCGAAAGAGAAGTAGGAGTAATTATTGATCGGGTGCTATACTCTATTATATAGTAGAAAATAGTATATCATGTAGCTTGAGTATACGAAAATAAGGCGCTGTTCGATTTGGCGTATTGCATGAAATTACTCCCCTGGCCCGTATTTCCCGGAATTAATAATCAAATCGAACGCGGACTTCTTGAAGCAGATAAGTAGGTCAGTTTCATGAAATAGGGTCAATTTAATACATATAAAAAACGACCAAGTACCCTATTTTATGATTTCTCGCTCGGACCAACGATTATAACATTAGTTACAGTAGTCCCACATACATAACAGATATCCCCAAGGGCTTTTTAGGTAATATGTTACCTCCTAGAGCCTTATAGGTAAGAAACCACTTCCTAAGGGCCCAAGAGATACCTTTTACACCTGTGGAACTACCGCAATTAATATTTCTCCCTCTCCTTAGACCCTCCCCCTTTTCCTTCTCTTTCATTTTCCGTTTTGCTCTCTCTCTCTCTCTCTCTTCCTTAATTTAATACTAGAGAGACCCCTCGACCCCTCCTCCGCCCCCCTTATTAATGTAATCATTGGAGCACGCAGATTAGAAGTTCTGAAGTTCTATTCTTCCTAACTGTGAGGGTTAGAACCCATGAGGCTACGGCATGGCCGTAGTGAACCGTTCTTTGGAAGTCATGTGCATCGGGGGATTCCCCCACTACACGTGACATACGAGTGCACTAGCCGAAGGGGGTGGTTACCAGGCCACTACTAGCGTTATGCTTAAGCAGCCTGTTTATTTACAAGCAGACTACGCATGTATTTTAGTTCTTTACGTATTTCTTTATAGTTTAATCTAAGCCCAAGTTCTCGGCATTTGCACCAGACTTGACCTCTCACAAAAAGAGAAACCCCTCAGAAAACAGAGGTCCAAACCTCAGGTTCCTGTAGCATTTCCTTTGGTATCGATTGACATACAGACAAACTGCATCGTCCTGATGAGCGAGGCCAACGAGTCGCGTGCCCGGCAGATCCTCGGATCGGGCGAGTAGAACAAGCGAGGAGCGACAAGCACCCATTTTCCAAAAACAACAAGAAGTATCACCGCCTCCGCAACACCTCCTTCCGTCTTCCTCAAAGAGAGAACAGCAAACCAAAGAAGGAAGGGACAAAGGAGAAGACACCGACATACCTTTATAAATCAAAATAAGAAAATATGCGTCAACAAGGCCGGGACCGGTGGCACAGGGGTATGTGTGGCCCAACACAAAAATAATACCCCGGGTATGAAAACATACTCACCCCCAGTGATTTAAAAAAAAAATGTCATCCTTCTGATTTGCTCTGGCGATGAGGAATAGTTGTGCAAGGGTTATGAGGGAGCCCGGGTGTTATAACACCGTAACCATTTTTTTGTTTTGCGATTTTTTTACCTTTTTGCCCAGCAAAGAACGCAGCCCAATGATATGAAATGGGGTCTGTCTGCGTCTGATTTGCTCCAGGCATGAATATTAATTGCGCAAGGGTTACGAGGGAGCCATAGCTTTTGCGAAAGTTTTGACATTTTTTTGCCGAAAGATCAGATTCGCTTAATTTCGCTTATTTCCAGCGCTTTTCTTTAGTGAATAACTATAGGCTTTCCAGCGTACTTCCTACTTTACGAGCCCAGTCTCACTAGTCTGTGCGTTCAGGGCATTTTAGTAATATTTCAAAATTTCAAACCTTTAAATTCTTAAGAATTAATTAATGAAATCATACTTTAGTTACTTTACTTTTCAGGCGCCAGACATCAAGTCGTAATTATTTGTTATCGTCTTATAATCATTAAGTGATTTCGTAGACTTTGGTTTTGGCAAGCCTATAAGCGAATTCGCGATGCCTGAATCTGCCTGAAAAATGCCCTGTACGCACAGACTAGTGAGATTGGGCTCGTTAGTCTAAAATAAACTTGTCGCACAAAATAATTTTAATTGCGCAATTATAATTCTCAGTTGCGCCTTTCCAGCGGTCCAGCCCGAGTGTAATTCTGACTTGAACTCGCGATGATGCGGCGGTGCAAAGCTGGGAAGTCCAGGGGGCTTTTCGTGAGACTCACTTGAGTTTAGGGAGCCGTTTCAGCGTACGAGCCACTAAAATTAAGCGAGTGCATAGGGAAAAAACATACGCGAAGATTAAAAAAATAAATGTCACCCTTCTGATTTACTCCGACAATGAGGAGGTTGTGCAAGGGTTATGAAGGAGCCCATGTTACGATTATTGCACCCAATTAAGGGAACTTTTTTTGCCCACATGAGAAGTTAGCATTCAGATAGGTTAAGCAACAACCAACTGCGCCACATTTCCTCGTTTTAAACCCGAAATCTACTATTTAAAATTATATCTACCAAGACTGAAAAGTCAGGTAATACACGCAAAATTCTTAGTTTCTTACTTTATATAATATTATAAAGCGGATTACAATTTCACGAAAATCAAAAGAGCTATTTCCTTAAAGATTTAATAGCAGAAACAATTACCCAGCATGGGTCACGTGTTATCTTAATTATTACGGTCTAAGTCCTTCACCACACCGCGGTGTACGTAGTAATCGTTCGGTGGTTCTCACCTCCAACTCGCTTAGTACGCCTTGTAGGTGAGGGATAGCGATACGCAACGAACAGCGATACGCAAATCTGAGATTTTGGTGGGAATCTCTCCTTTTCTCCCTTTGAATTCTCACAACGCAACGTAATAAAATAGTGTCTAAGTATTGGGAATTGATCCCAAGGTGTAGGCCCTTTAGCTTAGTAAATTTTAAGTCTAAAAGATTAAGGCGTTATTGTGGTGCAAATCTGCCCCATTTGCCCATACAAATTTTGGTGCGATTTGCGTATCGCTGTTCGTTGCGTATCGCTATCCCTCACCTACAAGGCGTGCTAGGCGAATTGTAGGTGGGAAACGCCGAACGATTATGGGTGATACGGCTCGCCAGCTCTTATGCTTACGTAACCACACGTGTTTTCGGCACGTGATATTGATGACTCATACGTGCATGCTAGGTTAAATACTCCAGAGCTCTTGGGAGCTGTGCAGAGGCAATACAACCATGTTTTCCAGACCCCTGATATTGTATTCGTGACATTGGGCCCCTCAGCGATTGTGGCTTCTGACAGATGTTGGTGGCTAAGGAGGGTCCTTACTACAAAAACGAAACCCCTCAGAAAACAGAGGTCAAAATCTCAAGTTTCCGAGGTGTTTCGTTCGGTATCAATTGACTTATATGCAAAGTGCGTCGATCCAGACTCTCCGCGACTTATCAGCATAACGAAGTCGTCGAAGAGCGCTGTTCAGGTTTTTCGTCACAGAAACAGCCTCCTTGTTGCAAATAATGTCTACGGGGTCATCTTGTGTCCCCCAAACGTAAGACAGGGCCTCAAATTCTGCACCCTCGTATAAGTCATCCAGAATCAGGAGATTGGCCCTCACGGGATCTGTAGCCTGCCCAGGGGCAATATCTAAGAGTCGAATGGATCTGTGGTTTGGAAGTTCTTTATACATTGGTTCGAAAAGGCTGAGCTGCGTGCATAGAAGATGTCGTGCGGTAGATAATGTAGGCGCCCCAGCTGGCACGAAACAGGATTGCCTCGTTCGATTAACGACTGGGACAAGGGCGGTACGATCATCAAATCCTGGGCGCAAAAAATGAAGGAGCCAATCGTGATACAGAATGCCGACAAGAATAGCAAAGGTACAAGACGGTTGCAAGCCGCCTCGAAGTATGGTGCAAGGAACCTGCTGAACTAATATTCAATGATCGCCACCGACCCGATGCAGAATCGTCAAGTCAGACTCCGCGTCCTGCTCTCGACGAGGTATGATGTGGACGCTCAACGATAAGAGGTGGTAACAGGGGCAAAATCAGAATGCGATGCAGCGATTTCGTTTCGTTTCATGGGGCGGCTGAGTTAGAGAGGAAACCGAGGAAGGCACTAACCACATCCGGATTCCTTTTTCTAACTGGTTAGGCGTTTTGGGAAAGATTAAAACGACCCCGCCTCCCCCCCCGGTGTCGATTAGGGGTGTCGATGGCAGAATCCTTTTTTGGCTTAGCGCTCGGCATTCCCCAAGTCCATTGCTAAGGAACCAATTTAGCCTTAGAATCGTACAAATTAAATATTTGCAATAAAATAATTTTGCCAAACCTTCAAATCTTATTAATATTATATCTCGATTCTTCTATAAAAGCCTCGAATGCAATAGCCAAGTATTATTCTATATAATTAACTTTATACTAAAGATATAGTATATTAATTTCCTATTTTTCTTTGGAAAATGTAGTATTTTTATTTATTATATTTTAAAAATATAATATATTTATTTCTTATATTTTAAAATTATAATATATTTGCCTCCTATATTTTAAATTCACGTTTTATATACTTATTTACTATATTTCTAACTAATTTAATTATTATATGAATTTCGAACTATATATAAATATTAAATATATAAATAAAAGAAAAGAGAATAGAAAGTTAAATAAGTAAAAGTAATAATCTTAAAACTCTTAATATAAATAATTAAAAATAAGGAATTCTAAGAATTAATATATTAAAAAGACTAATTATATATATAAATTAAAGTTTTATATAACTTCTTAAACTAGTACTAATATATCTAGAAAATAGAATATATAATAATAATTATGAAATAAAAGAAAAAAACCCTTATTATATAAATATTTCTTAAATATTATATATTTATAATTATTATTATTCTTAAAATATAAAAGAATAATATAAGAAAAAAACTATAGTAAAACAAAAAACCTATATAAAATATATTAGAATATAAAATATAACTTAATAATAAAATAATAAGATTAAAGATATAAATAATAAAGTATAAATAATAAAGTATAAATAATAAAGTATAAATAATAAAGTATAAATAATAAAGTATAAATAATAAAGTATAAATAATATATAGTATATAAAAGCTTAATTAATTAAATATAAAAGAGGAACTATTATCTAAAACTATAAAAAATCCAGTTTTCTTATATAATTCTTATAAGTTATATATAAAAGATACTAGTTTTTATTATATAACTAAAATATTAAAACTATTAAAATAAAGTAATTTTAATAAAATATGACTTATTATACTTAGTATATTAAATAATTTAATTAATTACAATTATTAGCCGGTAATTAAATTAAATTAAGTCAGAATTATAGTAATCAAATTATAATTAATTATTTGCTTAATTTAATTAAATATAATTAATTACTGGGTCACGTGTTATTACACGTGACTACAAAGATAATATAAGCGTTATAGCACAAAAGTAAAGCGTATTTTACCCTAATTTAGATATTGCCTTACTATTATAGGCTTAATAGCTAGTATCCCGCCTTTACTCGCTTTACTTATCTTGTTAAATAAGTACTATAGTAGGGGTTTTGACTTCTCTAGTCACGTGGGTACGGTCATGTGATATACAGAGCAAATAATTCACATATATATTACCTTACTCTCCTTCTCTTGTCTTTAGAAATTAATTAACCTTTACTCTCTTTATACTTTAGTAATATATTATTTAAAGAAAAAGAACAGAATTTATTACTTATATAACTTTTATATGGGTTTTACATAATAATTAGAAATAATTAATTATATTTAATTATAATTTTTCTAATAATTAATTTTTTTTAAAAGTTAATAATTAAATTATAATTAATTATTTACTTAATTTAATTAAATATAATTAATTACCTTAATTATTTTTTAATATACTAATTATGCTATAATATATATTAAGAAAGCCAATTATTATAAAAGTAGTCTTATATTAGTTTCTTTAATATAATAGAAAAAGCTTTTATTAGTATTTTTTCTAAAAGATTTATATATTAATAAATATTAAAGAAAAATTATAATTAAAACTATTATTAGTTCTATTATACTTTTATATTTTAAAATATATCTTTATTACTTTTCTAATAAGTTTTTTTTATAATAATAATAAGTATTAATTAAAGGAGTTTCGGATTTAATAAATCTAATAATAATAAAAATAATAAAAATAATAAATAGTTTTAATTTAATTAAATAATTAACTAAAAATACTTAATTCTCATTTATTTAATTCTTCCTAGTATAAAATAAACTAATATAATAGGTTTATTTAGAAAATCTATTCTAATTAAACTATTTTTAATAATATTAATTTTATATTAAA